TAACTAAAGAACTTCAAGAACACTTAAAGCAAATAACTTTGGGCTATAGTCTTACATGAAAACAAAGATATTGAAGATGTTCAATTTGAAATGAAATAAATAAATAAAAATAAAACATTCAAGAATACTCATTTCTGTTAAGTTTAAGTGCAACATGAGGTATGTTGATGCCCTCGTCCTTTCATCAATACTGAAAGAAAGAAACAGCCAGTGAGCTACCTTCCACTGTTTAGACTGAACTGAACTGCTCGGAAACAACTTGAGTCTATGTTTACTTCCTGTCAGGTTATGTCATTCAAATACACAATAATGTTACATTACTGTGAAATGTTCTACAACTTTAAACATTGTTCAAGAAGATGAGAATATCTCCATTGTCTGTGGAGAGGGTCGACCTTTCTGTGGTGACTGAGATCAATAACTTTTATTATGGAAACAATTAAAGTCAGAGAGCTTTCTACATCATTTATCATCATTTCATTCAGTCACGTGAGGCTGTTTATTCCTGATTGTCGGGTTTGATGAGTTTTATCATTTAAGAGAAACAATAATCATATTCTGGGTTATTTAATAATGACGTCACAGTCACAATTTCAAAACGTACAGAAGCAAATAATTCATAAATAAGACGATCGCATTCCGCCGGTAGAAATGGATCCTGTGCTTATAAACAGGACACAGTTTATTAACAGACTACAGAGAGAAACACCTCTACAGTGGTGATTACTGTCTTTATTAGTATTATTAGTTACTGTTATTAAGTACAGTGATCATGTGAACAGACACAAACTTATCAAAAGTCTCTCCAGCTGTTAAAACCGACTGACAGCTGATCAGCTGTGATCATCAGCACCGTCATCAGAAACAGACGTTGCTTCACGTGACACAACTGAGGAAAGGACGTCTCATGTCTCTTAAAACATATCTCCTCGTTTCCACAATGTCATAAATGTTGCACCTGACAAACTGAACTGTTTGTATTACTACATAGTCCAACTTAACTGAATGCAAAAGTGTCTATAACTCATTTATATAAGTTATAGACACGTTATATGATATTAGAGTTATATAACTCAGTATAACTTGTGATGCGTGGACGTCGAGGCAGAGAGCCAGTTATGCGCCGCACTCTCCCCATGAGCCTGGCTACTGTTGGCAGATTTAACCCCGTTGTTGAGGCCAGATTGAGCGTGTGAGCGAAACACTTCCCATCTTGTGCTGCATTTAGCAGGTCGTCTGTAATGTTTGCCCCGGTGTGACTTACGTGTACTGCTCTAGTTTGGAGAACGTGAGACAGCAGTGTCCAGTCCTCTGAGATATTGTGCTGTTATAGTCACATAGGAATCCACTGCGCTTGATGTCCACGCATCTCAAGTTAATGCAACTCTTTCTGCTGTACTCAAAGACTCCTCAGCGTTAAGCTTCACTTCTCTGTAGAGCTTGGGCATGGATGCGTTGGTGAAAAAACGCCGCGACGGTGTCGCATCCATGTCCTTCTTCCCTTCCTTGTTAAAAAATCCAAAATAATTCCAGACGTCTGATTTAAACTCGGATGGTGCATTTCTGATTTCTTTCTCTGATGTCTCCATCTTTGTTTTGACCAATCACGCTAACCCGGCACCTTTGCTGACCTCACCAGAAAACTCGGCACCATCTAGTGGACTGAAAAAGCAATTGATTTTATTATTCTAGTACCAAAAAGTTTATTTATATTATAAAATATCAATACTTGGCTTCCGTGTATCGATACAATATCGCCACGCAAAATATCGTGATACTATGCTGTATCGATTTTTTTCCCCACCCCTAATACTCTTTATGTATAGGACAGTAAAAAAAAAAACTAAAAAAAAACCTAGCAAGGACAGGATGCAAGACTTAAGTGACGCCATGACGGTGTGTGTGTGTGTGTACAGGTGTACTACAGGTGACAGTGTTCACCTGGTGGAACAGTCTCTGGACACCAACCTGCTGAACAACACTGTGAGACTCCAGCTGACTCACTGCAGCGTTCTTCCTGGAGGAGTTCACGTCCACGAGACCCTGAACAACGTCATCATCCTGGTCTCCACCAATCAGAGCGTCCACAGACTGGTGCTGCCTCACCCAACACGCATGTACCGCAGTGTGAGTGACACTTACACACAGACACACACACCTACACACAGACACCTACACAGACACTTACACAGTAACACACAGACACCTACACAATAACACACACCTACACACACACACCTACACACACAGACACCTACACAGTAACACACACCTACACACACACAGACACCTACACAGTAACACCTACACGGTAACGCACACAGTAACACCTACACGGTAACGCACACAGAAACACCTACACGGTAACGCACACAGACACCTACACGGTAACGCACACA